TTTTAATAATTAAATTTTATATATTTAAGCAGTATATAGTTATTTAGCTATTTATCAAATACTAAAAAATAAAAAAAAACCAAGAAAAAATAAATAAAGCAATACAAATACAATTAACTGGTTTACATAACATTTGAAAAAATTTTAGACCTGGCTGCCCAGAGGTTTTTTTTACATAAGTAAAATTTTTTATAAGTAACTAGCATATAATCATGTGGCAACTACACCACCAAATATTAACCAAAAAATTAGATATGAATGTAGTATAATAGCACAAGATATAGTTATTGAATTGTCCATTTTTTTATTATTTGCTTTGTACAATATCTAATTCCAATCATTCTATAACAAAGGTGATGTTTATAAAATAATTATTAATAATACCTATTTTTTCCTTTGTAATTTTAATTTAAAGTAAAATATCTCATGTTCTAAAGAGATGAGTGATTTGCCCGAATGATAACAGCTTTATAGTCATCAAAATTTTTAATTAAAATTTTTTTTAATAAATTAATTACAGTAGTACAGTATATTAACACAGATTGAAATCAAAAATATTATCATTATATCATCTAATAATTGCCTATAGTGATAGCAGACCAATAGGCTATTGGCTATGAACTGATTGATTGGGTATAAAAAAAGCTAATAGGCTGACAATTTTAGTAAAATACGATATTTTACTAATTTTTGAATGTTTATAGAGGATTAAAATATTATTATACTGTAATATCATCTATATAAATTGGATGATATTATAGTTTTGAATTGTTTTTAAAAAATATAATAACGATTTTTTAAAGATAATTATCAATTAAAAATATCATAGATCGATATTTTTTTGTTTTTAAATAAAATCAATTAGACGATATTTTACAGATATAGTAGTTTATTTTTTGATAATTAATGATATATTTATTGTCTTCATATCTGCTTATCTTTAGAATGATATCTTACCATTATAATCGTGATATTTTGAAAATTTATTATGATATTCTCTGATTATTATTGATATTGTAACGATATTTACTGATATTTTTTGGTTTTTAAATAAAATCAATTAGACAATATTATACAGATAAAGTAGTTTATTTTTTGATATTTAATGATATATTTATTTTCTTCATATTTGCTTTTTTTTAAGATGATATTTTACTATTATTACCATGATATTTTGAAGATTTTTATGATATTCTCTGATTATTATTGATATTGTAATAATATTTACTTATATTTTTTGGTTTTTAAATAAAATCAATTAGACGATATTATACAGATAAAGTAGTTTATTTTTGATATTTAATAATATATTTATTTTCTTCATATCTGCTTTTTTTAGAATGATATCTTACCATTATTATTGTGATATTTTGAAGATTTATTATGATATTCTCTGATTATTATTGATATTGTAATGATATTTACTAATATTTTTTGGTTTTTAAACAAAATTAATTAGATGATATTATACAGATAAAGTAGTTTATTTTTTGATATTTAATGATATATTTATTTTTCTTCATATCTGCTTTTTTTTAGAATAATTTCTTACTATTATTATCGTGATATTTTGAAGATTTATTATGATATTCTCTGATTATTATTGATATTGTAACTATTTTTACTGATTAATATAATATTAGCTTTATCATTTTGCATCAATTTAATAATTACTGTTTTAATATATTATAAGCAGATATTTATGTTTTTATTCTGATTTTATATTAAATCTAATATTTATCTATAAAATATTTATAATATAAGCTTATATTCTGATTTTAAACAAGCAATAAAAATATAACAATATTTTAGCTATCACCTTCTTCTCGACCTTTTTTTCGCTTTACTCTTTTCCCTTCTCCTTTTTCTTTTCTCTTGTTCTTTTTTTACCTGTAACCTTACTTTCACCTTCACTTTCATCTTCACTTATGCTTTCACTCTCAACTTCACTCTTAACTTCAGTCTCACCTTCTATATCTTCAACACTATAAACTTGTGATTAACTTTTTGTTTTGACAACTTCACCTATGGGTATTTCTGGCCTTCTTGGGCTAGACACTGGTATTGTTAATTCGATTAGTTCTTCTGTGGCTGGTGTTGTTGTGGGTGTTGTGGTTGGTGAGATTGCTGCTTTGGAGATTGCTAGGGTTGCTACTCTGGAGGTTGCTGGGGTTGCTGCTCTGGAGGTTGCTGAGGTTGCTATACTAGAGGTTGCTGGAGTTGCTGCTTTGGAGGTTGCTAATTTGGAAGTTGCTGGGGTTGCTACGGTAGTAGTTTTGGGCCTCTTCAATGCATCTTGTAGACTTGGAAGTGGAAGACTTCTTTCTTTATCAGTTTTCTTTCATTTATATAGTATAACTCTATCTTTGTTACCTATATCATCTCTATCTTTCCTTTTACTTGTTC